GGATGATACGAAAACAGAAGGAGATTAAAAAGTGGGAAAGTGTTACTCCCAGTAAAAGGTTATACTTTTCACATCCGAAGAAATAAAAGGTTACTTTAAACAATGTTATCTGTTTTAATGCAGACAGTTCTTCAGGCATCACTTTTTTGACAAACAATATGGTTGCTTCACATTTGCTGAAGGTATTACAAGTCTCATTTTTCAAACAAATCAATCGGGACATTGCTTACTGGAATCATACGCTTGAGAACGTATGTTGTAAGGATTTGTATATTTCTCATAATTATGGAAATATTACTCATTATCTTCGCAAAAAATTATTAAGGGTTTTCTGCTTAAACAGTGTTGCCTATCTATACATAAGTTGATTTGTCGGATGGATGGGTGGAGGATAAATGAATGTTTTTAGGAGACAGTAAGAACAGTCCATAGTACTCACAGTTCTGTATCGAATTTTGAACAAGAATTTATTGAGAGACAAAAACAGAACTAATAAGGAAAGAGCTGTACTGCTTAAGAAACAGAACATAGCGGGTCGGAAAACTAAGCTTAACATTAATATCAAAAGAGCTTAAACGACTTTGCCTGCGTCAGCAAGCTGAAAATGCTTGTATTAAAGTGAAGAAAGTTGTACAAAGCAAGAGTAAACGAGTCAAAGAAAAAAAAAAGTGAGCTTTGTAACTTTTTGGCAATAACTTGTTACAGCGAATATAATCTTAATGCTGCTTTAGAAACAGTCCTTTATGTGAAAACTCACCAGACAATGAGAGTGCAGCTCTTTACATCCTCCCTTCTTTATTTTTCACTGGACCACTGGACATACCTAGTAAATGCTTAATGATTACTCTCAGCCGTAACTAGACATAAAGACTCTGTTGATGACAAACACAACACTTCTAATGGGACTTTCCGTCCAAACCCGTTCCTCAGATCTCATCGTACACCACCGATGTTTTCGCTATATCCAACGGTTCCAGCGCCTGTTACTCTTTAAAACAAAGCCAAAGTTCAAAAGTTTTTCATTTTTCCTCACATTCAGAGTTTCTTTCAAGCTCTGTAACTTCGCGTTTGCTCAAAATTACCTAATGCTAAAGACGTTGGGATATATGCATTCTCCTTTGAGGATCAGAAGAATTATTATGTGTTATGGGAAAAAATATAGAAGAAAAAAGAAACTTAAAAAGTTTCTGAGAAAGATTTTAAAGAAGTTTTTCATAAAATAAAGTTTCAAAACAAGTAAATCCTGCGATGCAAGGTTGCGGTCAAGAGACGGCTTCGAAGGGGTGGTTTTAGTGTATTCGAATGGACTTTTGCCTCTGAATTGATTGTCCCAAAGAAATAAAAAAATGGGTAATTCTACTGCGTTTGTGTTCCATTTTCAGAAAATCACATTCATACTTATTTAACAATTTAGCATCTGAAATATTTGGTACATCATCAGTGGCTTGTGAGTCTTGCAAGCCAGCTATATCAAATAATCTAGAGCAGACAACCAAAGAATAACACGACCAAGAAATTTGACCAGTGATAACTACATCAAAATTCTGCTGAATCTAAAGGATTCTTAAACTAAGATTTTTCTTTTAGGTCATTCGATCGAGTCTTGTAGTTTAGCTCGAATATTTCCTGTTCAGGGTTTCCAAAAATTTAAACTTCGTGCAAAGAGTCTAAACTTCTTGCAAGTAATTAATTACAATATTTTTGCAAAGCGTATAATCTACAAGAAAAAAAAAATAGTTTAAAAACTTTATCAGATTTTTTTTGCTGCAACTCATGATCGGCGAGGTGTACAGACTTCACATGGTTTCCATATTCAGAGAATTGTATTACTGACTTTTAAAACTTCCCTGACCATTTTTGTGGAAAAGCTGAACAATTTTCTTGGTTCTTGCTTCTGCCAAATAAATTGTCGCTCAAAATATCAAACATTTTAGTCTCGTACGCAACATAAACATTTTGGCCAGAATGAGGAGTCTCAGATTTTAAGACACGTAAGTGTTACTGGAACCTATGAAGAGACATCTCTTACAACCTGTCTACTTCCAAGAATTAATTTCTCACCAGCGACTAGATTTTTTTGGCGTGTAGCTCAGACTCATTCCTATTTAATCCGTCACTATAATTACAGCGAGGCCTATAGAGGCTGAAAAAAAAAAAACTATAATCTGTGACTAGCAATTTAACAGAGCACATTTCCCCGCATAGTCTAACGCCATTTTCATCTAAGTAACAGTGAAACCATACAGTTTAAAGTCCTTAATGAACATCTTAACAATGACATTGTATTTGAAAGAGCCACAGCAGCTTCAGTGACGTACGACAAAAACGGCATGGCATTTAAGATCGATCTACGAAAAAGCCCAATCAAGTTGGTAGACATCAATTAACCTGTTTTTTGTCCGTACTCATAAATCTTGTAGAAGAATTTTCTGTCTCCATTTCGGCACGTGTTTTTCACCAAACACCCTTATAAATTAATTAACAGCATCCAAAAAATTACAACGTCATGAGCTTTTCTGTAAATGGGAAGCTTTTAGCAGCCAAATAAATTTCAATAGTTTTCTGAAATTCATAACTTATGGAGATATAAATTCCTCCCGTTTTCCTAATATGCCAAGCGTTGGCGGTTCGCCAAACTTTTAAAATCAGTTTCAAATTAGTTTGGTGTTCAGATGTGAAGCTTCCAGGAATATTACTTAGCGCTCGCTGAAACCAGTCGTAAAAAACAGTCGCCGAAACGACGAACTGTATAAGTCTGTAATGAAGGAGAGTCATATTTTCATATAAATAAAGGTAGTTGAAATGTAGGAGACGCGGTTGAAGAACTGTCTGTTTTCAAAATATATTTTTAATTGACCTACTGGTTGCCGAGCAACAGTCTGCTGAGAATCAGTACTTTCCATCGGTTTCTTACGTTATACCATACAAAAATATTGTACTGATGTTTTTTGTTGTTGAATATCACAAGCTTACATATCAAGAGTCGCAGAAGTCGATTATTTTGAAAGTATGAGTTATTGCAGGAACTCTAAATCTGTTACCGAGTTTTTTAGTTCGAGTGATTTGAAGGATTGTTCTAAGTGGTACTTTTGGCATATTTTTTTGAATAGTTGCTAAAAATGGCGACGAATAATTTCTGAGAGGTATAGAAGTACCGTCGTTCATGGGAGATATTCCAGTAAGTGAAATATATAGGGAATCTGACAATTCCTAAACTGGTAGTTTGGCTGTTTCCAGTTACTCATTGAAACCCGTTTTGAAAGCGCTCCAGTGTCTTCCATCGTTCAATGACCAAGAAATTTACCAACAGACCTAACTTGAAACAGTGGTTCAGCGGAGCGTCACCGAAGAAAGTCGTTTGAGTGCTGACCTCACAGATCTATAAGAGTGCTACTGGAATACAGTTTTCAGCAATGGTTATAAAACGATTCCTTAATTCGTGAAGCGGGAAGGTTCAAAAGCCGTACTTCTAAATTTGATGCTTTAGGGGACGTATTATACGGGCGTCATTGCAAATAGTAGTTCGCATGCAGGTCTCACGCGGTTCAGCAAAACAGTGTTTATATCGCCGTGTCGTAGGCAAAACTGTTGCAGGCATTATCGCATTATTGGGTTTTGTGTTTATGATCGGTATACTAATTTTATGGACAGGCGCGATTTGTAGAAAAGCTTTAGATCCGATGGTGGTAGCTTCTTGTTATAGTTGCGTTGAACCAGTTGTATATTATTACTTTAGGTTTTCGTGATGCTGAAATACGGGAGACAGTACTGATTTTACTCTTCTGTTACCCGCTTCCGCGCAAATATGTGAACAGGGCATAGCATCTTAAAATGGTTTTAGAAATCAGCATTTCTAATTTTCCAAATTCATTTCGGTTTTGAAATCGAACTACCGTTTCATTGAAGGAATATCGTTTCTATTTTATACAGACACCCAGGTTGTTGTAAAGCAGATGATTTATGCTTTTGTTGCGGCTGTTCTAATTTATCGCTCTGGAGATAATGGAACGTAATGAAATTTGTTTTAGGGATGTTAGGAGGATTTCGCATCGGTCTAAATTTTTGAAATGGTCGTGCAATGGACTTAATGACTATAGTTAAGTTACATTCCCCGACAAACTTTGTTGTTACATGTGAGTATCAGTATCACTTATAAAACTGCCTTGTCAAGACCACTAGTTATAATAACTTTGAAATAAATTATTAAAAACTGCTTAAAATGTGATGGATGCATTCAAAATATAACATTCGTTTAGGTTTTTTCTAAACTTGTTAGAAATTACTACTTAACACTAGATTTGCTTTTCAGGGCAAGGGTCTTCTGAAGCTAAAGCATCTTGCGCTGACACTTTCGTCAAGTATTTCGAAGACAACACCGTTGCGTGGAAAAGGTAGTGTCAAATAAATTAAAAGTTTTGCCAGAATTTTAGGACACATTGCGTCAAAAACTTACATATTTTTTCTGAAAAAATTTTTTTATAAATTTACATAGCCTTGTTTCCATGCTTTAGAAATCTTTTTTTATGAAACTTTATGCTTCAGGTACTGAAACAAAAGATTTGTAGGTAAGATTCTGACTTTAATCACTTATGATGTGATTGCAGGGTTAATCATCAGTCGTCTTCGCCACTACACGTGAAATTGCCAGTTCATTTCGCCCCTTTCAATCCTGACCTAATTAACAAAGAATTGAAAAATGATCTTTCTGAAGTGTCTCTCCTGCATATTTATTTTACTAACGCGACAGTTAGTTAAAATTTTGCATTCCCTTTTTGGATTGCCAGTTGATTATAATTATAAGCTGATTTTATGATCCTGATTGTTTTTTCATTTCTGCTTGAAAGGCTTACTGATTTTTTTAAATTTATCGCTTATTACGGTAACAGTTAACTGGGTGAAAGCTTGTTATTTTCAAGCCTTCCGAAAGTATAAATTTTTGGCTGCTTTAGAGTGTTGAAGATTATCGTTCAAAATGGCGTCCTGACATACAAGAATGGGTCACGACAGTAAGCAATGTAAGTGGAGTAGAGTGGCTTGTAGTTTTTGACAGCACCAAAGCCCGTGAAAAGAAGAACAGGGGTGCGGTTCTGGAGAAGATTAAAAATGATTTTGCGAGGTTTACTAGTAGGTAAAGTAATGTTTTCTGGTAATAGCATTTTAAAGTTCTCTTTTAAAAGTTTATAAAATATTTCCTAAACTTTCTGCTCACTGTTTTAAGGGCGATTTAGCGAAACGTGAAAGGTAATACTGATATATGCAAACATTACGAATTTAGCTGAGCAAATTTGTGACAAACAAAATAAAACATTATTAAAAAAGTTACTAATTTTAGGACTCCTTTCTTTGTCATGATGTTTCCTTTATTGAGCTAACTGATTTTAATAAACATTTAATTGTCTTTTCTTTTACAGACTCGTTGAAATTGACGGAAATGTTGCTGATTCAGTGCTTTCTTTGCCAACAACTGCCAAAGACCGAATGCTATCCTTTTTGGATAAGGTCGTCGCTGAGGAGGAAAAAAAACTTTCTGATTTTAAGGAGGATTATTATAAACTGGACTTCAATTACGTTGGATACAGTAATGCTCAAGTTTGTTTTTCACTTATATTTGCAATTACTCAGCTTTGGGTAGCTGATAAGAATATGCTTCTTACTAGTACTTTTCTTCTGAGATTTAGTTCATTCAACTGCAGAGCATGAAAAGTTTTTCATCAGGCTTTTTGACTCGTTGGTTGTAAACTGGCAAGAGTTCACTTCCTTCAGTCTCTTTACTTCGTGTTTTATCTGTAGCTTTTTATATACTGCGTTAGAACTGGACTATTATTTCAGATGCGATTGATACGGGTCTACTATTCATTAAATGTAATTGAAAGAGTGTTGGCAAAACTAGACGAGCTTGATGCTTTGATCTCTCTTATTGTGGGATACTTCGTCAGCCAAAGTTGGAAAGCCTTTTAATCTACTACAAGCTTCTATGGGCATAGTCTAAGGTAATATTTTTAGCTATCAGACCAAAATGGATTTCTGTTGGTGAAGCTGCTGCAAGCGAAGTATGCCCTTTATTGGGTGTGTTGGCTCACCAACAAGAACTACAGAAGCTTTTCCTTGTGGATACAAGAACCTTCATTACCGCACAAAAAATGACAGTGGGTTTACTGTTTTTATAATTTCCATTTGAGTAATGTTTTGCCAAGGATAACAGTTCATTTATCTTTCTAAATATAGAAGTACGCAGGAGAACGTGCAGTAGTGCTGGTTTAAGTTGAAGCTTCTTCTACCTGTAGTTTTTGAAGTTTGTTGGAGAACAGTCGTTATGTAGGCCACCTTCATTGTCGGAGTTTTGGAGCTCATTAAAATGAAATATTCTGTTTTATGTTATACAGTCAAAACTGAAACGGTAGTTTTTAAATTTCCTATTTTACTTGTCATTCGGGCTGGCACTTCAAAAGAGCATTTGTAGGCATCTTTGCTGTTGTACCAAGAACGAATATCGCATGAGCCACGTTCCAGCGCTTCAAGCAACTTGCAAATCAGAACGGATTTTGCAGCAATTGTTTTGCGACATGCCTGGCATTGCTTAACTGCTGTTTTTGAAGATCTCGCCAAATTAAAGGCAAGAAGTTATTTTTACTTTTCTGGTTTGTTATATTAATTGCAAAATTTGTAGCTCTTTATAACAGAAGACTGTCT